ATAGAGTGGGTGGGGGGAAGAGGGGAGGATGGAGCATGGATAGTGAGAATGGAAGAGAGGTTGTATTAGTCAGGGGGAACTCAGGGGTAGGTATGGGCATTGGGACAGAAGGGGAGGGGGGGAAGAGAGAAATGGAGGAACAGGTGGGAGGGTCCCCTGTCCCACACAGGGAAGTCCATGTGACACCCTCGCAAGGGGAGGGAGGTCACATGGATGAAGGGGGGGCAGAGGAGGGGCGAAGGCTGGGTGGGTTTTGGGGGTTGAGGCGATGAGGGGGTCTCATCCCACTTGGAATGTGGGATGAAACAGATGGATTTGAATGCAATGGGGGTCAGAGGGGACATGGGCGTTGTTGGGGAGATAAGCAAGGGCGAGGGATGGGAAGGCTGATTTGGGGAGGGTGTGACCTGGGAAGCAGTTGTGGGCTGGTTAGCACGGGTGGGGTCGGTAACTACGCTCGAATGGGAAGAGTTGTGTCGTGCAGGTCGGCTCGCCCTGTGGGCTATCTGTTCATCTTTTGTCAAGTAACTGTCAATATACACGATGTAATAGTTTTCGCTACCTCTGAGTAAATGTTTGTGTTGCAGTATGTAATCCACTGCCTCTTAGTTAGTGAACTGTGCCAGGACAGGTCGTTTCTTGTTACAGTTGTAAGGCCCAATGCGGCGGTGGATTTCAACCTCATTCCCTGCCATCTGGGCTCTAATATCTCTCAAGATCCCCTTAACTCAAAATCTTTAATCTCCATCCTTTCCTGCCGCGATGGTGCCTTGGCTTTGAGTAATCCATAGAGTATGATTGACCGCCTTCTCAGTGAAGCACTGTCATGCTGGTCGCCCCTCCCCTGGATACCCCCCCCCCCATCCCTCCCACTCTCGCTACTCCATCCCCCACTACTCACCCTTCCCTGGCCATGCTTCCCTTATTCCTGCCAAATTTAGTTGCAAGCCTAGTTTTTTCACTTTCCCATGCTACCCTGCTCTTTCTGATTTCTTCCTGAATATACTCCATAAGCTCTTGTTTTTGTCTGTGAACCTCGTCCTGTATTTTATTAAAGATCTCACTTTTCAATCCCTTGGATTAGATCCTCTATCCAAACATCCCTCTTCTCTACAAATTTCCCTTCTCAGCTTTTCCACCAACCTATCATCTTCTTCATTCATAATACTGCTGGATCTAGATGCCCTTCCTGATCTAGTCATTGCTATAAACAACCTTACCCACAGGCATTCCAAGTACCTTACCGATCTGCTAAACACAATATAGGTGAGTGAGTCCCCACGTGATGTAGTTAGGGTTGCTGCCCGGGGTGAGGTTACGTCGGTCACAGTCAGCGTGAGGTCTGCTCAACTACCTCACACTTCCACAATGCGTTCAACACCTATTTTTATTTACACAGTTTCTACTGTTTTTCTTCACTTCCTTATGATTTGAGTCAAATTCCAAGTTTTTCATTCACTTGTATACATTTTTTCACTTCGAAGTAGCCTGATTATCCCTCCCACTCCACTAGTGACCCAGGAGCTCCCAACCCACGTCCACCCAACACGACGGACACAACACTGTGAGTGTGTGTGTGTTTGTGTGTGTGTGTGTGTGTGTGTGTGTGTGTGTGTGTGTGTGTGTGTGTGTGTGTGTGTGTGTGTGTGTGTGTGTGTGTGTGTATGTGTGTGTATGTGTGTGTGTGTGTGTGTATGTGTGTGTGTGTGTGTGTGTGTGTGTGTGTGTGTGTGTGTGTGTGTGTGTGTGTGTGTGTGTGTGTGTGTGTGTGTGTGTGTGTGTACTCACCTATTTGTGCTTGCGGGGGTTGAGCTTTGGCTCTTTGGTCCCGCCTCTCAACTGTCAATCAACTGGTGTACAGATTCCTGAGCCTACTGGGCTCTATCATATCTACATTTAAAACTGTGTATGGAGTCAGCCTCCACCACATCACTGCCTAATGCATTCCATCCGTTAACTACTCTGACACTAAAAAAGTTCCTTCTAACGTCTCTGTGGCTCATGTGAGTACTCAGTTTCCACCTGTGTCCCCTTGTTCGCGTCCCATCAGTGTTGAATAGTTTATCCTTGTTTACCCGGTCGATTCCTCTGAGGATTTTGTAGGTTGTGATCATGTCTCCCCTTACTCTTCTGTCTTCCAGTGTCGTAAGGTGCATTTCCCGCAGCCTTTCCTCGTAACTCATGCCTCTTAGTTCTGGGACTAGTCTAGTGGCATACCTTTGGACTTTTTCCAGCTTCGTCTTGTGCTTGACAAGGTACGGGCTCCATGCTGGGGCCGCATACTCCAGGATTGGTCTTACATATGTGGTGTACAAGATTCTGAATGATTCCTTACACAGGTTCCTGAACGCTGTTCTGATGTTAGCCAGCCTCGCATATGCCGCAGACGTTATTCTTTTTATGTGGGCTTCAGGAGACAGGTTTGGTGTGATATCAACTCCTAGATCTTTCTCTCTGTTCGTTTCATTAAGTACTTCATCTCCTATTCTGTATCCTGTGTTTGGCCTCCTATTTCCACCACCTAGTTTCATTACTTTGCATTTACTCGGGTTGAACTTCAACAGCCATTTGTTGGACCATTCACTCAGTCTGTCTAGGTCATCTTGTAGCCTCCTACTATCGTCCTCAGTTTCAATCCTCCTCATAATTTTTGCATCATCGGCAAACATTGAGAGAAACGATTCTATACCCTCTGGAAGATCATTTACATATATCAGAAACAGTATAGGTCCAAGGACTGACCCCTGCGGTACTCCACTCGTAACGTCTCGCCAATCTGAGACATCACCCCTCACACTGACTCGTTGTCTCCTGTTACTTAGGTACTCCTGTATCCAACGGAGTACCTTCCCTTTCACTCCAGCCTGCATCTCCAGTTTTTTCACTAGCCTCTTGTGTGGCACTGTGTCAAAGGCTTTCTGACAATCCAAAAATATGCAGTCTGCCCACCCTTCTCTTTCTTGCCTTATTTTTGTTGCCTGGCCGTAGAATTCAAGTAACCCTGTGAGGCAGGACCTGCCATCCCTGAATCCATGTTGATGCTGTGTTACAAAGTTCTTTCGCTCCAGATGTTCCACTAGCTTTCTTCGCACAATCTTCTCCATCAACTTGCATGGTATGCAGGTTAGGGACACTGGTCTGTAATTCAGTGCCTCCTGTCTATCCCCTTTCTTGTATATCGGGACTACGTTAGCTGCTTTCCAAATTTCTGGCAGTTCCCCTGTTGCCAGTGATTTGTTATACACCATGGAGAGCGGGAGGCACAGTTCTTCTGCTCCTTCCTTTAGTATCCAAGGGGAGATTCCATCTGGACCTATAGCCTTTGTCACATCCAATTCTAGTAAACACTTCCTTACTTCCCCGCTGGTAATCTCAAACTCTTCCAGTGGTTCCTGGTTAGCTATTCCCTCTCTTATCTGTGTGTGTGTGTGTGTGTGTGTGTGTGTGTGTGTGTGTGTGTGTGTGTGTGTGTGTGTGTGTGTGTGTGTGTGTGTGTGTGTGTGTGTGTGACACAGAACAGCAGGAGCATACATTCTCAGCATGTATAACTAGTCTCAACTAACATGAAGACATCTGTACCACAGTGCGGACAATGAGCACGAACAGTCACATATGTTCTGATGAACTTGTTGCATGTATCCAGTGAGGCATTTCTTACATGCTTCCAATGCTAAGCTTTTTTATTATCGTACAGGTGATGAACTTACCAGCATATCCGAGTGCTTAGTGCTTATTCCATTGCTTCACAAAGGCTCAGTTTTCACCGCTGAGATACCAAGAACCGAACACAATAGACTCAGGTCCCAACGCAAATTTGACACTTTTCAAGCAGTAAATAAAACTTTGCTAATCGTCTTGTGTGTGTATGTAACGCATGTATGTGAAGCCGAGGTAATCCTCACCAAACCTGTATGTTTGTCTCTACCATACCGTACTGTAAGTATGGTATGATAGAGACGTGATGCTGACAGCCTCACCACTCACAGGAGAGTCTCACACAGCATCCTGCAGGGTGAGTGATGGAGTCTGTATAGAGCTGCAGGCGTGTAGGGCTCGTATTGAATGAGCTTGGACCTGTACACTTATCTCACGACCGTCTCGCTTCATGCAGGTCGGCGTTCAATCTCCGACCGTCCACAAGTGGTTGGGCACCATTCCTTTTCCCCCGTCCCATCCCAAATACCTAATCCTGACCCCCTTCCCAGTGCTATATAGTAGTAACGGCTTAGGGTTTTCATTGACAATTCCCCTTCCCCTTCCTTGTACACTTGTCTAAGAAACTGTGACAAAATATAATGCAGGAACTGCAATAAAGGAAATTTTATTTTCCAGAATAAATTTACAGTTCTCTGTTATTTAATAAAACCATGATATATGCATTTGTAGCAACGGACAAGACCCTTTGTGTTATCATGCGAGATAACACAAAGGGGCTGCTATACCGCATCCCAAAGTGGGAAGAAGTGACAATGTAGACTAATTTACGTGAAGTTTGGGACAAGAATTCTCCTTCCCTCAACGAAAGATTCCTTTGGTTCCCCCTCCTCTAGTGCGCCCACGGAGAGTGTGTGTGTGTCTCTCTGAACCCCCACAAGAGTGTTGCCTGCACATCTTGCAGTAAATGTTGCATAAGAGATGAGTCTGCAGAGTAGCGGGCCGGGCTAGACCTCCCCTGAGACCTCGTGAGGACCTCCTAAGACTTAGCTCAGTCACTCACATTTCCACCAGAACAGCGCAAAAACAGCTTTTATTTCTTAAGGTTTCTAGTTCAGGTTTTCTCCTCTACATCTTGAAACCGTCAAACTTCTTAATTATAAAGATGAAAATGAGGAAATTATGTGTTGATTTTGTTGACCAGACCACACACTAGAAGTTGAAGGGACGACGACGTTTCGGTCCGTCCTGGACCATTCTCAAGTCGATTGTGAGAATTACTTCAGCCACGTTATTGTGACTCATCGCCTGCATATGTGTTGATTTTCTATGAAAATGAACTTTACATATTTTAATTAGGGCAGCTTGTGTCCCAGGATCTACAGCTTGTATCCCAGGACCTACAGCTTGTATCCCAGGACCTACAGCTTGTATCCCAGGACCTACAGCTTGTATCCCAGGACCTACAGCTTGTATCCCAGGACCTACAGCTTGTATCCCAGGACCTACAGCTTGTGTCCCAGGACCTTCAGCTTGTATCCCAGGACCTCCAGCTTGTATTCCAGGACCTACAGCTTGTGTCCCAGGACCTCCAGCTTGTATTCCAGGACCTACAGCTTGTATCCCAGGACCTACAGCTTGTATCCCAGGACCTACAGCTTGTATCCCAGGACCTCCAGCTTGTATTCCAGGACCTCCAGCTTGTATTCCAGGACCTACAGCTTGTGTCCCAGGACCTACAGCTTGTATTCCAGGACCTACAGCTTGTATTCCAGGACCTACAGCTTGTATCCCAGGACCTACAGCTTGTATCCCAGGACCTCCAGCTTGTGTCCCAGGACCTCCAGCTTGTATTCCAGGACCTACAGCTTGTATCCCAGGACCTACAGCTTGTATCCCAGGACCTACAGCTTGCGTTCCAGGACCTGCAGCTTGTATCCCAGGACCTACAGCTTGTATCCCAGCACCTACAGCTTGTATCCCAGGATCTACAGCTTGTATCCCAAGACCTGCAGCTTGTATCCCAGGACCTACAGCTTGTATCCCAGGACCTGCAGCTTGTATCCCAGGACCTGCAGCTTGTATCCCATCACCCACAGCTTGTATCCCAGGACCTGCAGCTTGTATCCCACCTGGGATGTTTTCCAACTAACATGAGAGTACATAAAAATGTTTAGAAAGAAGCTTCGACCGGATTTATTTAGAGAATTCCCTCCAGCTTCTTCCAAGCACGCCAGAAGCTTCGGAAGTCAGAGAAGCTTGGCTGATAAGCGTGACCAGGTCGTATATTTCCAAGTAACTAGGTAAAGCTTTTTCTGCTCTGAGCCTTCGGATTACTTGAACGAAATGCGCCGATGCGGGTGTGCGCATTAGCGCTCAAGCTTTGGCAAAGCTTGTTGGTTGGTTTCTCTTCTTGAATATATAGTTGAGACGTTGTAGTGGACACATTGGTACAAAAATGGTTGGGCATATTTCCAATCGCCTGACACCTCTGTTCATCCAACAGTAAAAAGTAATATATGTATGTATATATATATATATATATATATATATATATATATATATATATATATATATATATATATATATATATATATATATATATATATATATATATATATATATATATGTGTGTATGTATATATAATCGAAAGGTAAGATTAATAATTGTAACGCGAATTTTCTCAATATTTCTTATGTTTCTTTTCACTGTCGATGGTAATTGAAAAATCAGTTCTCCAAAATTCATCGTCGTCCCTTCAATTCGTCGTCGTCCCTTCAATTTCTAGTGTGTGGTCTGGTCAACATTTTTATTTCTAGTCTGACACAATGCTTGAACGCGTTTCGTAATAACTTATTACATTTTCAAAGACTTTACACACACAACTGTAACATGTAAACACACATCCATACTGATACTCGCATTTGGGTGAGGTTATATAAAACAGCTATATAACCACGACTATAAAACAAAGAAAACGGCCAATCTACTCATGAAAAAGTCTCCAAACACCATGCATAACGCCTTGATGGAGACCAACGAAGTCTACGCCTTCAAATGCCTACTTGGGACTGTAAACCCCAAAGAACTCATTATATAGGCAAGACAACATCTCTTTCCAGGCGATTAACGATGTATAAGCAACAGGGCTCCATTAAGGAACATATAATCTCTTCCCCACAACGAGACCATCACCAGAGACGTCTTCAGAAACAACACAGAAATCATCGATAGATACAGCGATAGCAGGCGGCTCGACATCTACGAGGCACTACACCTCAAAAAGTCAACACCAGCAATCAACAGCCAATTAATGCACAACTATATTCTACCTACTTCAAGACCCTGAACTAATATTGAAGCATCAAGAGGAAGTATGGGCCAATAGGCCCTCGGCAGTTACTTCCATTCTTATGTTTTTATACACATTGGTTCGTGTTCTGTCTTGTGTAAATGTCAGTCACCTCACCCGAAACTTTTATATCACCTCACCCAAATGCGATTATACGTATGGATGTGTTTACAGGTTACAGTTGTGTGTGTAATGTAAAGTATTTTAAAATGTATATATATATATATATATATATATATATATATATATATATATATATATATATATATATATATATGCGAACAAGCATGAATGGTCCCCAGGACTTTTGACGGCCGTGATGGTCAAGTGGATTAAGGCGCCCTGTAGTTACCAGTTGCGTTGCTCCTGGGAGTATGGGTTCGAGTCACTTCTGGGGTGTGAGTTTTCATTTTCATATATATATATATATATATATATATATATATATATATATATATATATATATATATATATATATATATATATATGTCGTACCTAGTAGCCAGAACGCACTTCTATGACTACTATGCAAGGCCCGATTTGCCTAATAAGCCAAGTTTTCATGAATTAATGTTTTTTCGTCGACCTAACCTACCTAACCTAACCTAACCTAGCTTTTTTTGGCTACCTAACCTAACCTTACCTATATATATAGGTTAGGTTAGGTTAGGTAGGGTTGGTTAGGTTCGGTCATATATCTACGTTAATTTTAACTCCAATAAAAAAAAATTGACCTCATACATAGTGAAAAGGGTAGCTTTATCATTTCATAAGAAAAAAATTATAGTAAATATATTAATTCAGGAAAACTTTGCTTATTAGGCAAATCGGGCCTTGAATAGTAGGCTGAGAAGTGAGTTCTGGCTACTAGGTACGACATATATATATATATATATATATATATATATATATATATATATATATATATATATATATATATATATATATATATATATATGTCGTACCTAGTAGCCAGAACGCACTTCTCAGCTTACTATGCAAGGCCCGATTTGCCTAATAAGCCAAGTTTTCATGAATTAATGTTTTTTCGACTACCTAACCTACCTAACCTAACCTAACCTAACTTTTTCGGCTACCTAACCTAACCTAACCTATAAAGATAGGTTAGGTTAGGTTAGGTAGGGTTGGTTAGGTTTTGTCATATATCTACGTTAATTTTAACTCCAATAAAAAAAATTGACCTCATACATAATGAAATGGGTAGCTTTATCATTTCATAAGAAAACAATTAGAGAAAATATATTAATTCAAGAAAACTTGGCTTATTAGGCAAATCGGGCCTTGCATAGTAGGCTGAGAAGTGCGTTCTGGCTACTAGGTACGACATATATATATATATATATATATATATATATATATATATATATATATATATATATATATATATATATGTCGTACCTAGTAGCCAGAACTCACTTCTCAGCCTACTATTCAAGGCCCGATTTGCCTAATAAGCCAAGTTTTCCTGAATTAATATATTTACTATATTTTTTTCTTATGAAATGATAAAGCAACCCTTTTCTCTATGTATGAGGTCAATTTTTTTTATTGGAGTTAAAATTAACGTAGATATATGACCGAACCTAACCAACCCTACCTAACCTAACCTAACCTATATTTATCGGTAATGTTAGGTTAGGTAGCCAAAAAAAGCTAGGTTAGGTTAGGTTAGGTAGGTTAGGTAGACGAAAAAACATTAATTCATGAAAACTTGGCTTATTAGGCAAATCGGGCCTTGAATAGTAGGCTGAGAAGTGCGTTCTGGCTATTAGGTACGACATATATATATTTATATGCAATTGACGATCACAAAACACTGATCATTTTATGCGGAAAATCCATAGAGAAATATGAAATGAGGTGAACGTTTCGGCTTGTTAAAGCCTTTGTCAACACCAGACTGACATTCAGTCAGTCAGTCTGGTGTTAACAAAGGCTTTAACAAGCCGAAACGTTCACCTCATTTCATATTTCTCTGTGGATTTTCCGCATATATATATATATATATATATATATATATATATATATATATATATATATATATATATATATATATATATATATATATATATATATATATATATATATATTAACACCTATGTTAACTTCAGTGCAGCACAGGTAGGAGGTGCTGCCAATCACCGGGAAGCACCCAAGTCACGTAAATATGGAGACCTTGATCACCACTACAATTTTGTCCCCATTGTCTCAGAGACACTTCTTGCCTGGGGTAAAAGTGATGCAAGTTTTTTGAAGGAACTGGGGTCCAAGCTAATTGAAACAACTAGAGACCCTAGAGCCGCCAGTTTTCTCGTTCAGCGTCTTAGTGTGGCAATGCAGAGAGGAAATGCTCACTGCATCCATGGTTCCTGCCCGCCATCTGAGGAGCTGGAGGAGCTGTACAACTAGTGACAAGTAGTCTTGTACCCTGCATGTAACCCATGTTGTAACCCTTTTTGTGTAATGACATTTTAAATAAAGTTAGATATATACACACACACACACTAAAAGAGTAGGGGTGGTAGGGGAAGAAAATATCAAAGTGTTCAGTGAGGATCCACAAGGTCTTCTCTGAGTACTCATTATTTTCTTCTCCGAGGCTATGGGAGACTTGCACCAGAGGTGGTACCCTTTTAGGTTTAATATATATATATATATATATATATATATATATATATATATATATATATATATATATATATATATATATATATATATATATATATATATATATATATATATATATATATTTATAATATATATATATTATATATATTATTCAAAGGCTGCCTGTCCCTCGATAAATCATTGAGGAGTTAAGTTGGTTCACATCCACAAGATGCAGGGATCGATTCCCCTGGTGGAGAACGTTTGGGCACTTTTCCTTTCTCCTGATGCCTCTCACTACCTCGTAAGCATGTACCCGTGAGTTAAGCAACTGTTGTGGGCTGCATCGTGCACAAGGTCAGTAGATGCCTCTATGGGGACTTTGACAACCTTAATAGGCTTCCTGTCCCCGGCAATGAGAGACTTCCTCTTTACCCTCCTCGTGAGAAAGACTTAGTCTTGGCTGCTATCTTAATATTATTAAGAAAATTCTCGCTAAGCTTCTTTCATTTTACAGTTTGTTTTCACTACATTTTCTGCTGGGATTATTTCAGCTTATCTCACCCTAGTTAGGAACCCAACACAACCCTAAAACCCCCCTAACCCAACCCACGTGCTCTCCTCTCCTCCTCCTCCTCCTCCTCCTGCTTCACACTCTCTTCTCCACTTTGGGTTTTCACCCCGTGACTCCCTACGGCCCAACCAGCTCCACCTCGAGGACTCCCTTCCTACCCATTGCCTCACACAAACAACCTAGATCCACTAGCAAGGCTGTCGCAGCATCACAACAGCTCCCCTCCCCCACCGTCCTGCCCCCTACACCCCTGCCCACCACCTGCCCACCATCTGCCCACAACCTGCCCACCATCTGCTCACCACCTGCCCACCACCTGCCCACCATCTGCCCACAACCTGCCCACCATCTGCTCACCACCTGCCCACCATCTGCTCACCACCTACCCACCACCTACCAACCACCTACCCACCATCTGCCCACCACCTACCCACCACCTGTCCACCACCTGCCCACCACCTGCCCACCACCTTCCCACCACCTACCCACCACCTACCCACCACCTGCCCACCACCTGCCCACCACCTACCAACCACCTACCCACCATCTGCCCACCACCTACCCACCACCTGCCCACCACCTGCCCACCACCTGCCCACCACCTACCCACCACCTACCCACCACCTACCCACCACCTGCCCACCACCTGCCCACCACCTACCAACCACCTACCCACCATCTGCCCACCACCTACCAACCACCTACCCACCACCTGCCCACCACCTACCCACCACCTGCCCACCACCTGCCCACCTCCTACCAACCACCTACCCACCATCTGCCCACCACCTACCCACCACCTGCCCACCATCTGCTCACCATCTGCCCACCACCTACCCACCACCTGCCCACCACCTGCCTACACCTACCCACCACCTGCCCACCACCTGCTCACCACCTGCCCACCACCTACCCACCACCTGCCCACCACCTACCAACCACCTACCCACCATCTGCCCACCACCTACCCACCACCTACCTACCACCTGCCCACCACCTGCCCACCATCTGCCCACAACCTGCCCACCATCTGGTCACCACCTACCCACCACCTGCCCACCACCTACCCACCACCTGCCCACCATCTGCTCACCATCTGCCCACCACCTACCCACCACCTGCCTACACCTACCCACCACCTGCTCACCACCTGCCCACCACCTGCCCACTACCTGCCCACCATCTGCTCACCACCTACCCACCACCTGCCCACAACCTACTCACCACCTGCCCACCACCTACCCACCACCTGCCCACCACCTACCCACCACCTGCCCACCATCTGCTCACCCATCTGCCCACCACCTGCCTACACCTACCCACCACCTGCCCACCACCTACCCACCACCTGCCCACCATCTGCTCACCCCATCTGCCCACCACCTGCCTACACCTACCCACCACCTGCTCACCACCTGCCCACCACCTACCCACCACCTGCCCACCACCTGCCTACCATCTGCTCACCACCTACCCACCACCTGCCTACACCTACCCACCACCTACCCACCACCTACCCACCACCTGCCCACCACCTACCCACCACCTGCCCACCATCTGCTCACCCATCTGCCCACTACCTGCCTACACCTACCCACCACCTGCCCACCACCTGCTCACCACCTGGCCACCATCTGCCCACCACCTGCCCACCACCTACCTACACCTACCCACCACCTGCCCACCACCTACCCACCACCTGCCCACCACCTGCCCACCATCTGCTCCCCACCTACCCACCACCTGCCTACACCTACCCACCACCTACCCACCACCTACCTACCACCTGCCCACCACCTACCCACCACCTGCCCACCACCTACCCTACACCTACCTACCACCTGCCCACCACCTGCCCACCACCTACCCCCCACCTACCCTACACCTACCTACCACCTGCCCACCACCTGCCCACCACCTGCCCACCACCTACCCACTACCTACCCACCACCTACCCACCACCTGCCCACCACCTACCCCCCACCTGCCCACCACCTACCCACCACCTACCCACCACCTACCCACCACCTACCCCCCACCTGCCCACCACCTGCCCACCACCTGCCCACCACCTGCCCACCACCTGCCCACCACCTACCCACCACCTACCCACCCACCTACCCCCCACCTGCCCACCACCTGCCCACCACTTGCCCACCACCTGCCCACCACCTGCCCACCACCTACCCACCACCTGCCCACCACCTACCCACCACCTACCCACCACCTACCCACCACCTACCCACCACCTACCCCCCACCTGCCCACCACCTGCCCACCACCTGCCCACCACCTACCCACCACCTACCCATCACCTACCCACCACCTGCCCACCACCTTCCCACCACCTACCCACCACCTTCCCACCACCTCCCCACCACCTACCCACCACCTACCCCCCACCTGCCCACCACCTGCCCACCACCTGCCCACCACCTGCCCACCACCTACCCACCACCTGCCCACCACCTACCCACCACCTGCCCACCACCTGCCCACCACCTACCCACCACCTACCGCCCACCTGCCCACCACCTACCCACCACCTACCCACCACCTGCCCACCACCTGCCCACCACCTACCCACCACCTACCCCCCACCTGCCCACCACCTACCTACCACCTGCCTACACCTACCCACCACCTGCCCACCACCTACCTACCACCTACCTACCACCTGCCCACCACCTACCTACCACCTACCTACCACCTGCCCACCACCTACCTACCACCTACCTACCACCTGCCCACCACCTACCTACCACCTACCTACCACCTGCCCACCACCTACCTACCACCTACCTACCACCTACCCACCTGACCCATTCAAGCGTAAACATTTCCTGGAATATTTGTTGCATTTGTCTATTTAATCTCAGCTCTCATAATTATCTATTATTATTTTGCTCTATATTCATCTTTATCTTTGTGTCTCATTTATATAAAATTATCTATTGTATTTTTGTTAACTTATCAGTGTTCCACTACTTTATTTTTACCTTTTTTAAGCACAATTAAATAAAGTTAAATTTAAAGTAGTATTTAAATTCATCGCATATTTAGGTATATTCATTGAACTAAACATTATTCATAATAAAATTCATATATATATACATTTTTAGATTTATTTGTCCAGAATTTTTGTATTTATTCAAAAAGTTTGCATCAGGTTGGAGAGACGAATTTAAATACAAAATATTTGTCCGGTAATGGAGATGTATTTTCAAAACCCACAGTGTTTATGTAATGTTATTCAACGCTGTATTTTGAAATGCTTGAAATTGTCTGTTTCAATCAAATCTGTTATGAAATAAAACTTTTATATATGCAGTTTTTTGTGTGTGTGGAGAATCAACAAATATATTTGAACAATTTATGTTTAATCCATAAATTTTACAAACCCGATTGTGTATTTTTTGTACAAGAAGAAGAATTTGTAATTGCAAAATCAAACTTGCTCACTCTGAAGTGAAGCTCCAGAAAGGAACTCACTTATAACACTATAATTGTGTTCCTTTATGCTCACTTCAGAGTGAGCATAAAGGAACTCTTTTTGAACTTTTTGAACTCGCTTCTGAGTTCAAAATGAGGCTTCAGAATACGGAATGCAGACTGTAGTGTGCCACTTAATGTCTAAAAACCAGCATTAAACACAAGTCGATATATAAAAGAGTTAGCCAAAAATATTGACTCGAATCGCTATACGTGTTTTTTTTTCGAATGTGTTTCACAGAGCTGTGGGTGCTGGCACCAGAGCACCGCACTCAAAGGTGCCACCACACAACAACAAACCACTCCAGCTCTGTAAAACAGATTCTAAAATATAACACTTTACTCTTGCAGTAAGATACTTAAGATTTAAGATATACAGAAAAGTTTAAATATTAATAATGACTGGCATGAAAAAAGTGGAAATTTTGATTTTAAATATTAGTTAACTATTTCTTCTAAATACTATTATATAGACATCTGATATTGAATATGATGGAAAAGGTTAGATTAGAAGGTTAAAATTTTTATTTTTTAAACAATTTGTCTGAATCACTTTGAATCACTTGAGTGATTCAAACACGTGAGTTTGAATCCCGTGTTCTCCTAATGTACTCCTTAGCATAATCGGAGGCATTGGAAAAGTGAATAAAATTATGTAGAAATAAGAGTGTATAGTCCATGCTGATGGGCCGTGCATGGCAATAAACTGATTGTTTTGAATTATTAAATGAAAAAAATTAATTAAAAAATTTATATAACAAAATAAAGATTCTTAAAATTGAACCAGGACAACACAAAGAATACAGTTAAGAAAATACATTCAAACTCATAGACAATATTCATATATATTTGTATATTCATAATTTTACACAAAATTGCATTACTATATTTACCAGAGAAAGTCATTATAGGAGCACAACTTGTATTCAATATAATTATGTTCTGTATTATATTGATTTAGATTTAGAAACTGTGTTTATCAATGATTTAGAAGAATTATTATTGTGTCGTTGTTGGGTCAGATATTCTGATGCTAGAGTTCTGTGTCGAGTGAAGCGGTTGTAAGGTGGTTTACCTGGGGGCTTACCTGGAAGCTTACCTGGAGGGCTTACCTGAGGGCTTACCTGGTGGGCTTACCTGGGGGGCTTACCTGAGGGCTTACCTGGTGGGCTTACCTGGGGGCTTACATGGGGGCTTACATGGTGAGCTTACCTAAGGCTTTACCTGGGGGGCTTCCCTGGGGAGCTTACATGGTGGGCTTACCTGAGGGCTTCCCTGGGGGCTTACCTGGGGGCTTACCCTGGGGGCTTACATGGGGGCTTACCTGGGAGGCTTACATGGGGGCTTACCTAGGGGGCTTACCTGGGGGGCTTACCTGGGGGCTTACCTGGTGGGCTTCCCTGAGGGCTTCCCTGGAGACTTACCTGGGGGCTTCCCTGAGGGCTTCCCTGGGGACTTACCTGGGGGCTTCCCTGAGGGCTTCCCTGGGAACTTACCTGGGGGCTTCCCTGGGGGCTTACCTGGGGGGCTTACCTGGGGGCTTCCCTGGGGGCTTACCTGGGGGCTTACCTGGGGGGCTTACCTGGGGGCTTACCTGGGGGCTTACCTGGTGAATATTCACCCAAGCCTGCACCGCAGAATAGGCGGACGAAGGCCTAATTAAGCTAAGCCAATACCTGGTTCCCATTATTAGGTTAGACTCCTCTGCGTGATCAAGGTGGGAGTAATTTGTGAGTATTCACACAAGGCTCTCCACGGTGTTGCTGTGGCAGGGGAGGGAGAGAGAGAGAGAGAGAGAGGGGGGTATCAGAGAAAGAGAGAGAGAGAGAGAGGGGGGTATCAGAGAAAGAGAGAGAGAGAGGGGGGGGGTGTCAGAGAGAGAGAGAGAGAGAGAGAGAGAGAGAGAGAGAGAGAGAGAGAGAGAGAGAGAGAGAGAGAGAGAGAGAGAGAGAGAGAGAGAGAGAGAGAGAGAGAGAGAGAGAGAGAGAGAGAGAGAGATGTGTGTGAGAGAGAGAGCGACAGAAACTGAGAAAACTAATTAGAAAAGACATGTAATGAGAGAAAATGCACTTAAAATATTTATAATCATACCAAAACATAAACCCCCGACATGTTGATCAGCCCGACTATTGTTGATGGCTTTAACAATTTATCCTCAACACCCTAATTAACCCCCCCCCCCTCTTCTTTAAAATTCTCTGACACTTAAAGAATAAACTTTTCCCAATAAAAAATTCCAGGAAAACTTCATATAGCGAAGAGACTAAACTTTTAATGTGTGATACAAACTTTAGCATCAAGGCGTGTTGGACATGACTCTGCCCCCGACCCTCAACTCTCCACGTAGAGGAATATTTTTTGTTCAAGGCTTGAGAAATTGTTGAGTAGGAAAGATCTTATTCACGTTCCCCAACTTAGCTGTCTCGGCCAGCTGTGATGAACAATAATGTGTTGGGATGGGATTATTCACATTCACAATGATTTGCTTTGATGTGCAATGATGAATTCGATTGTTGTGAACATTCGTCAATTGGGCTGCTTTGCATTGCCTTTTAGTATCGTCTTGTGTAACACTGTGTTGATCTTGTTGCTCAGACTCTCGATATGTTGCATATTGAAGATTGAGTTGCAGTGTTGTGTTGTGGAAAATGGAACTTTAAACAAATATTCACACAAATATACACTTGGATGATTCTTTGTTTACAACTTGCAACGGTCCCAAGAGCATCGTCAAAGTCATCGAATCACGAGTCAATCTCTCCTCGGTGCAGAAATGTTTGAATGATGTTTGCAAGCAAGACGGCCATTCTGCTTGTGTCTTGGTAACGTGTGAGTGTCTGGGAACAATCAGGCCGAGGTGGTCAAGGATGCTTCATCCAGATTAATCCCCCTCAAGGAGCTTCAAATCAATTGGGGATTTCTAGGTACGGATTAATGCATCGCGTTCATGGTCGAATCACTGATTGTAATTGATACGGGGTACGCAGGACGCTACAAACAACAGCTTCGGAAATCATCGAGTGGGAAGCCTGGCTCCAAGCTGTGAGAAGAACAGAACAACTCTCAAAATTCCCTCAAGGTATAACCCAGGTGTACCTATATAATGTCCCCCTTCTACTAGCTTAAAGCATTAATGGTAATCGCCTTAGTTTGTGACTCTCGCCGCTAGGGTGCCTGGCACTGGGGGCAAGGCGTACACAACATGACGTTCAAGAACATCCAGGCTAACATTTGCTGATGTCTTTAACCCGAGAGATTATATTCTTACCTTCACGGTCAGAGTAATATTTAATTTTAAGATGAGTGAATTCCCATATATTATATTAATGATTTTTACACGCATTTTATATTGTAATTTCAGCCTTCAGTGCCTTGATGATCTCGTTAAAACTGTGCCAGATAATTATATAAAATATAATATAATTATATAAAATGAATACATCAACATATTCATCAATCATTCCAGAGTCAAATAATATAAAAGCAGATGTCAAATGTTCTGGTGCATGTTATACCATAAAAGATTCACCCAGCCCTCGTGCATGCTATTTTTACCTGCGACTAAAACCAAAACTGTCCACACAAATTACCATCCATTTCGTGAAATAATTAAAAGGCCAGTTACGTTGTAAACACATGAAACAATGAATAGTACTTTAATTACCAAGCCAAATGCATTGTTTATAGAGTCATATCCGACTCGTAAATTCAATTTCACAATGCAATGAAATATGGCCAATATTTTATGTGCTGTACACAAATCAGCCTTTGTGTGTAGATCCAGTATTGTGCGGACCTTGTCGCTGGCCTGTGTGAAGCGGTCAGCTCTACTGGACAACGTTATGAGGGGAGCAGCGAAATAATATTAATGGAGTAGGATCATATTATTAGCGAGTGATTATAACCACCACTAAGTGTATAACTGCGCCTATACCGGACCACGTGGGAGCATACTGCACCACATACGTATATATATATATATATATATATATATATATATATATATATATTGGTTTTTCTTGTAAACATATGTTGTTAAATATGACCGAAAAAGTAAGATTATTAATTGTAACACGAATTTTTTTCAATATTTCTTATGTTTCTTTTTACTGACGATGGTAACTGAAAAATCCTTTCTCCAAAATTCATTTTTATTTCCAGTCTGACGCGATGCTTGAACGCGTTTCGTAATAACTTATTACATTTTCAAAGACTTTAGTTTACACACACAACTGTAACCTGAAAACACTAAACAGAGTCAGCTAATGCGTCATACTTATACTCGAATGAAAGTCACTTCTGGGGTGTGAGTTTTCATTCGCATATAGTCCTGGGGACCATTCAGGCTTGTTCGCATTTGTGTTCCTCACGTGTGCCCCAAAGAATGAGGTGATTTGGTGAAATGCTATGCCCAAGATTACCATCCGAGTTGCCGTCGGGGAAGTGGCTCAAATAGCCTCGGCTATCACTTCCTTTTACAGCCGTGATGGTCAAGCGGATTAAGGCGCCCTGTAGTTACCAGTTGCGTTGCTTCTGGGAGTATGGGTTCGAGTCACTTCTGGGGTGTGAGTTTTCATTCGCATATAGTCCTGGGGACCATTCAGGCTTGTTCGCATTTGTGTTCCTCACGTGTGCCCCAAAGAATGAGGTGATTTGGTGAAATGCTATGCCCAAGATTACCATCCGAGTTGCCGTCGGGGAAGTGGCTCAAATAGCCTCGGCTATCACTTCCTTTTACGGCCGTGATGGTCAAGCGGATTAAGGCGCCCTGTAGTTACCAGTTGCGTTGCTTCTGGGAGTATGGGTTCGAGTCACTTCTGGGGTGTGAGTTTTCATTCGCATATAGTCCTGGGGACCATTCAGGCTTGTTCGCATTTGTGTTCCTCACGTGTGCCCCAAAGAATGAGGTGATTTGGTGAAATGCTATGCCCAAGATTACCATCCGAGTTGCCGTCGGGGAAGTGGCTCAAATAGCCTCGGCTATCACTTCCTTTTACGGCCGTGATGGTCAAGCGGATTAAGGCGCCCTGTAGTTACCAGTTGCGTTGCTTCTGGGAGTATGGGTTCGAGTCACTTCTGGGG